TTAAGTATTCCTTATCTGAAATACTTGAGAAGTGTTTCCACTTTTGAAATTTTTCAGATTTTGGAAAATTTGTCAAAATTGATATATAATGAGATATTTGGGGATGACTTGAGCCTAAACATGAAATCCATTTATGTTTTATATATACCTTAGACTGAAGGTAAATTCATGCAATAATTTTAACATTACTTTTTTTGCAGAAAGCAAAAGTTTTGCCTGTGATTTGACTGCAACCCTTCTCATGAGGTCTGGTGTGGAATTTTTTTATTTGTGGTGTCATGTTGCTGTTCAATGGATTTCAGATTTTCAAGCATTTTGGGTTTCTGATTCTTGGATTAAGGATGCTCAACCTGTACTAAAAAGGATAAATAATATGAAAACATTGAGAAAGTACAGGGGAAAATGTTCAAAGTTTGAAAATTGGTCTAATAGTGGCTATGTGGAGAAGGAATGAAAAATGGGAGATTCTGTCTGTTTAGTGTTGGTATAACAGAATACCTCAGACCAAGGAATTTATAAAGAAAAGAGGTTTATTTAGCTCATGATTCTGCAGGCTGGGAAGTACAAGGAGCACAGCACCTTGTACTGCATCTGGACAGCTTCTGCTAAGGGCTACATGGTAGGTAAATGCGTGTTAGAGAAGGTCCAAGGGGAAGTGGACACATGCCAAGAGGCAAAACACAAAGGGGGTCCTCACTTCCTAACAGCCCAATCTGGCCAGAACATTTCCCCTGAGAACAAATTCAGCCACACCAGAGTGAGAACTCACTATCAGGATTATAGCTCTAAGGTTCTCATGACCCAAACACCTCCTAACAATGCCACATTGGGGATCCATTTCAACATGAGTTTTGGTGGGGACAAGACCATACTAGGAGATAAATCTTGGAAGATAAATTGCGGCACACCTTGGGTGAGAGTGAGGTACTTTGGAAAACAGAATGATTTGAATCTGTTTCTTCCTCAATGGAGAGGCATCACAAACCCGTGGCCTAAAAGGGTAAATGTATTAATTACTTCTTGCTGATTGACAAAATAGCTATTCCAAAATAGATAAGAGGCTTAAAACTACTACTATTGACAAAATATCTATCCCAAAATAGGTAAGAGGCTTAAAACTACAACCAATTATTTAGCACCAGATTAAGTAGGTCAGTAGTTTGGGCTGGGCTTGGCTGGGTGGTTTTCTGTTCTTGGCTGGGCTTGCTCATCTATCTGTTATCAGCTGGGGTGGTGTAGAATGGCATCAGCTAGTGAAGCTCATATTTATAATCTGTAGTCTCTTGTCTCTCAGCAGCACAGTGAAGGTTATTCACATGGAGATTAAAGGGTTTTGAAAAAGAGTGGAAGTAAACAAGGGCTCTTAATGCTCAGAGTTACATCTCACACACTACCATTTTTGCCACATTGTTTTGGACAAAGCAAGTCCCAAGGCCAGTGAATATTCAAGGAATGGGAAAACAAACTTTCCTCTTAAGAGAAAGAGTAACTTCCAAGTTCCATTTCAAAGGGGGTACATATAAGAAAGAGTGAAAGATTGTGCTCAAATACAACACACAATTAGTTATATGTTTTAGGAGGATTCTCTCATTATAAACCATTAAATGTGAAACAGACTGTAGAATTATTTGGGATCAAATGAGACTTGAGATTATCAGATTAATTAGAAATGAGTCATATTTGAGACATATTGAGCATTAAGAAGGCTAATATAATAATAACAGACCATAGGAAAGATGATGTGAGATTGAACTATAGCAGTGGTGGTATAAAGGATGTTTGAGATATTATAAAAGGAAAATCCCAAGATTTGGCAATGGTGGTGTATTATAGGGGTATCTGGTGTGGTGATAGGTGAGGATGAAAGTTGTGCTCTTGTCCGGCCAGTGCAATGATAATAGTTAGGATGAGGAGCTTGCTTTCCTGGGACCATGGTAGGTGAAAGAGGTATGATGCTGATGGGTTATTTATGTGGCTGTGTCTAGGAGAAAATTTGGTTCTGGAGCTCAGTAGTAAAATCAAGAATCATATATTGGTAAAAACTTGCAGGCAGGAAGGGAGTGCATATGGTGGAGGACAAGCATGCCCCCTATTTCCTTAGCCAACTTGTTCTTCATACACAGTAGAAGCCAAACTGATAATTATCCAACCAGTAGACCAAAAAAAAAAAAAAAAAAAATAGTGCAGTCTGTTCACCACCTTCAGGACTCAGCTCATTTTATTTCTTGATGAGCTGATTGCAATATAAGAAATTATAGCAAAAGTCAACTAAGAATGGAAATCAGTATTTAAAAAATTTGAACATCAACAGTGTTGGGTTCCTGAGCCATGATTTTTTTTTTTTATAATATCTCACGAATCCTAACAGTGTCCCCTGAGTTGGGTGCTTTTATCCACCTCAAAGGTGAAGAACCTGAAGGTTAGAAGTTATCTGCCTCTGAGTATTTTTTATGTCAAGTCATATGTGGGACATAATGCTAGACAACTTGAAGGAGGCTACTGCTGGACCAATCCATCCTTATGGCTGAAAGCATCAATATCTTGGCAGACCTGTGACTGATATATAGTACAATGGGCCTTGGCCCACCATCTGGGAAATTGTGGGTTAAATAAACTGCCCAGAATAACAGAGCTAATAAGCAACAAAACTGGATAAGAATTCAGTTTTGCTTGATTTCCAAAGTTGAGATTCTTACCACTGTTTGATGCAGTGACTCTACCTGGGTTTTAGGATACAGATTATGGGGATGGTTTATCATCTCAAAAATATACTGAGACCTTGAGCTAAGAAACATGGTGTCTTTTCTTTTTAAATTCTTGAAGTTGGGTCACTATCATGAATGATGAGTGATGATTCCCTTTCTTCTTATTTACAAAGATACTCTAAAATGATATTAACTAACCACAGAAAAGAGAGGAAAAGAGATATAACATTTTGCTATTCAGTGTAAAGACTTAGAGATCTTTTCAGCAGTCAACATATGTGTTGGACTGCCAAGGTTCAGGTCACTTTATTTCAATGTGTCCATTAGTTTAACTGTATCAAGTTTTTGTTTTTTAAAAATGAAGACCTTTATATTAAGTATTATATAACCAGATATGTTTTATTTCCCCTAGTTGCTGAGTTATAGGTTTGTCTCATCTTCATTGATAAGCCTGGGCACCAGAAAGAGATGGCACCATCACTTAGACACATCTTTATGTCTCTAGTCTTAAAACTTACCTTATTTTATTGTGCCTTTACACACATGTAGAGAAGGTATATATACCCTATTTACTGTCACTTTACTCTTTTTCTGAAAGAACAGACTGCAATTTGATAGAACATAGGAAAATGTAATTAGACACACCTGGAGTGCAGATATGACTTTATTTTTTTGTATGTGTGTGAT